ACAGGATAGAGAATTTGTTGGATAATATCAAAAAGTGATAGGCTAAACTGTGAGAAACTAGGAATTAACTTTCAACAGGCCTTTGAATTGGAACTCGAACCTCTGTTTTTACTTGTCTTTGTCTACTAACACATTGTCTCACATTGGACACATTGCGTAGTTGCGACATGTATATTTGACTTTTTTTAAATATTTGTATATATATTATATAAGTCTAGGGGAAACCTGGTCTTGCAGCAACACAAAAGGTACAAGAAAAGGTCAAACAAATGTAATAACATCTACATGACAATGTAGATGGCAAAGTGACAATGTCTCACTAACATATATAATACTTGTAAGAGACCTAAAGATCCCTCCACTATTTAAAGAAAGCAAACATTAGAGAAGTCAGCAGCAGAAATGTGTTTTTTCCCCCTTATAATGATACTCTCAAAACCCCAAACTGATTCAGCTATTGGGGTCTATTTCATATTAACTAGAATTATATTAGTTAGTATTTTCTCAGACTGTAGTCATTGATATCAAATTGTGCAGAATGGGTTTTGTAGTCTTCATGAAAGGAAAGCTCTGTCAGCTATCTCTCATGGAACAGATTTGTTATGTAAATGTGCAAACTATCCAAAAAGTGAATATTTGTTATCCCCATTCTCAACCCTCCCCACAAGCACACCCCACCTTCAACACAACTGAAACAACAGGAGTCACAATAGTAAGCTTAATCCTGCCAAAACCGCAGAGAATGTACCACTATCACCGGCGCAAACCACATTATTTGTAGCAGCAAGTTAAAACACATCCTCCATGATGCAGCAGAAATTAATATTAAAATCATAAAAATGCAATGCTTGAGTGTACTGAATGTAGTTATGATAAAATGACACAATAGCAGCAGTAAAGATGTAATTGATTTGTCGGTTCTGAAGAATGGTAAAGCAAGCGGTCACATAAACCCATGGCTTTCAGTTTAAACATCTCCCTAATGCTCTGATGAATATGAAATGTATGGAGAACATGTGACAAAGCCATACAGAACTCCCCATGAAACCAATATTACAGGATTATAATTGTGTGAATGTGCTGTGTGCAGTCATGCTTACAGCCCTAAAGCCAATGTATGAAATTATTTTCTGTAACAGACCATGGCAATAAACAAAACACAAGGAACAAGCAGAAAAGCAACTGGGACATGTGCACAAAACAATTCAACCCCAAATATGTTAAACACTGTTCACCCATATGTAAATCAACAGCTTGTAGGCCTAGTTCCAAACACCAACCAAAAGAAAATGATGTCAGTCAGCCTTCAAGATACTCATTTAAAATACTAGTTTGAAATACCAATAGCAAGCACAAGCAGCTAATAACTTAATAAAGCTTACCTTAATGAAGTGAAGCAGTGACGACATGAACGCTGTTTACGACGACTTCCGGTATAACCAGGTAGATACATGCTGTGGTCTTGCCCAAAACATATTTGTAGTCCATAAATCCGTCCTTAAGTAACAAAATAAGGTTCCTTGTATGCTAGCTTACTTGTGTTGTGAAATGCTATATTCTCGTTAAAAGTGTTTAAATGACAGCTAAAAATGTTAGCTTAATTAATTCAAAGGAGAAGGCGAGGCATAGGTTTTCTAATTGCAGCCAGGTGCGCGAAATTAAGTGTGTTACTATGGTGAAGGCATGACCCGCCCTACTCTGCCTCTGATTGGTTGGTTCACGGGGCATGCATGACGATAAGAGACGTTCCTCACGTAGCATGATAAATAACAACTTAAATAAAACTATACAATACTGTGAAAATACTTAACACAAGTAAAAGTCGTGCATTCAATACCTTACTTTATTATTATAAGTCTATACATTTTTGTAAACATTTTCTGCAGTAAAATGTTCCCTGTCCATGTTCTACTAGACTTGTAATAGGCTGCATGATGTTTTTTATTAGTTGTAATATTAAAAGTAGTGTTTATAATGGCAGTGACTTTGATAGATAATGTGTCTGGTGGAAGATGACGGCAGGATGTTGTGCAATACTTACAGGAAGGTCTCATGCAATCTTGTGGGAAACAGTCCCAGGAGTGGCGTCTAATGGAGATCGAAAGTGATCCATTTAAAACGAATAAAGGCACATTATGGAACAAATAACCATAGGGATTCATCCATCCCAATATTTAATTTAATCATGCAATCATTAAACTAATTATTCATGTTTAAACTCATCATTCTTATTAGCAAAATAAAAGAGTTTTATTGCACGTCATTAATTTCACAATGCCTTCTTTCTGTCTGTTTTCATTTCACAATGCCATTTTACCCACTTAACATTTTCTTTCATCATTTCATCACTAAGTCTTTGCCCATTTTTACAAAGGCAACAGAGCATTTATTTTATTGGTAACTTTCTTAGACATCAGTAAGTGGCAGTGCTTCACAATAAAAGACAAAAGCATAAGTGCTAGATACGACAAATACTAAAATGCCAAAAGATGAAGAAGGAAATGTAATGTAACAATAATAAGCAGTGTTTTCAAAAATATTATTTTTATTTCACAATTTCACACTTTTATAACATATTGTATCAAACATCATGTATTGTTTATTTGGCTATGCAGTGTAGATCAAAGTGTAGAGATGATTTAAATATCTTAATCCTTGTTAGCTTATTATTTTCTGTGTGCCAATTTTGTATGTAGGCTATAGTGACTCTCCGTCCATCAGGGACTTACAGAGAGACGCCTGTGTTTGGTATCAGCAGATAAAGCCTGGACTCCCTTTAATTAATGAGGATGGGTCAAAATTCAGAGGACATGTTTTTCCCAGGAGGATTAGTAGTTTACAGCAGAAAAAAATAAGGGTAAACAGAACTTAGTTTAAAGTTTTTTGATATCCTCTTGGGTCATAGCACCAAAAAAGGAAAGTGTGGAAATTCAGCATAATTTATTTTCAGCAAAATAACAAGCTTACTCTTGGGAAAAAAATAATGGGTTGTGTTTTTTGGCAGCATTCAAATGTCACCTACTGTTTTCTTTATGGCAGAAACTGGTGTTGAATTTTTTTTTTTATCATTTCAAAGATAACATAAAATATCCTGACCCAGTCTGTGACCTTTTTGGTTTAAAACCAAAGGTAACCTGTGCATCCCTACCAAACAGTGCCCATGTGGTTATAGCCTTTTCTACGATTCTTGTGTGACGTTTGGTTCTTTTAAAATTGAATTTCTTTGTCCCCTTGCATTAATTTAATAATGGAAAATACTGTATTTACTGTTAAAGTACTCTGTATCCTGTAACTAAATGGGTTAATGGGTGGTGGGTGGGAGAGTGGTGGGATGGAAATGGAGATTTTGATTTGTCAGCATGTGTATTTATCGTTACTTGAATTGAAACCAAGTGTACATGCTCTTTATCCCTTGCTTTTGTAAAAAGAAACGGAGAAAATCAATTACGATATTTACAAAAAGTAACATAAATTACATGTTTAAGGATATTATTACATTAAAAGTATTAAAGCCTTTGTTTACATTAAAACAGGGGTGTCAAACTCAAGGCCCGGGGGCCAAATCCGGCACGCGACTTCATTTTATGTGGCCCGCAAGAGCTTGCAAAGAATATAATACGTTTATTATACGGTTACATGCTACTTTACCTATACCTATACCTTTACCTATACCTTTACTAATTTATCTATATATGTTCANTGGCTACAATGGGTGATCTGTTTGGTATTTTAAGCAAAAAACTTCACAGACATGTTTTGTATAGGTATGGCCCTACAATATATTTTTCCAATATAGCATAATAGGTCCACTTTAAATTGTCCTTCGAAGCATATGTTGTTTACATTTCTGGCTCCCAATGTTAAGTAGTAATTTAGGATCTGGATGTACAAGTGTCATTACATTCTTGGTCTTTGTTTTAAAGGTTTAAAACAACTGTTGGCTTGTTTTAGATGCTATTTAAGTTTGAAAGTTTTCTATTTCTGATTTGTGGCATATTTTGTGTTAAGCCTGTCTGTTTTTAATTGCTGTTCATATTTCCCTCTTATTGTTCCTTATCTTGGCCAGGATGAAAAAGAAAAACCTGACTGATTAAATCAAAAGTAAATCAAATAAAATAACTAACCAGCAGTTTTTATATTAAACTACTCTGCTTACAGGGTCTGGAGCATTCAATCTTGGTCTTATTATTAGTAATATAAAGTAAGAGTATACAAACAATGCTGATACTGATTGGTTTTGAAGGCTTGTGGGTACTTCCGATTCCACTGTGATGTGCATTTACTATCATCAGCCCCGTAAACTGACACTAATCATATCTAGTTCATTTCTCAGACAGATTGGTCATTTATTTTCATCAGATGGAGTCTCAGCTGCTGCTAACGTAGATTGTTGATTTCATTTTGCATTATTGGTTGCCAGACTTTATATAAAAAAAAATATTGTTATTTTTCACTCTGAGGCAGCAAGGATGCTCAGATGTTCTTCTCTTCTTAAGCTGCAGGCACTTGAATGCACAGCTAAAAATGAATTTAAAGGAGGATTATTTGTACCGCATATCTGTGGATTCCTTCACAATAAACTTAGATCTAATATTTTTCTGATGTCGACAATTCTGAAACTGGTCTGAAGTGAATCCATCCAGAGGCACGGACCCTAAGTTTGCGTCATAACCTAATGGATCATATTTACTCAATGTTTTTGAGTTGCTGTGTTCCTTAATACAACAGATGATAGATCAGGTTCTGGGTGCTTAAGGCTACAACTCCTATCAGATTATTCCTGCAATTACAATGTGATTTTAGAGGTAGAAGGTAGACGTTTTTCATCAATAATTCAAATAAGGGGTTGTCAGTTTTTCAGGGAAGGGAGGGAAACACAAACTCTTAAAAGGTCATGAGTCAATTTCAACGTGTGATTGTGTTGTTGTTTCCTGACGTGCTGAAATACCTCCTGTCTGTTTATTTAACTTCTTATTGTTTGTCCTTTCACAAATCCACAGCGCTCTCAGCTCATTACCGAGTGTGTGAACCGTACTCCGACAACAAGGGGCGTTACCACTTCGGCTTTCACTGCCCACGCCTCTCAGACAACAACAAGACCTACATGTTCTGCTGCTACCACAACAACACCGCCTTCAAATACTGCTGCAACGAGAGCGAGTTCCAGGTGGTCATGCAGGTCAACCTCACCACCACCTCAGACGGTTACGCACACAAGTAAGTACAAAACAGACGTGCTGTCATTTGACCCTTTAACCTCTTTACACACCTGCACCAGCACATGCTCTGGGTCATTAGTCCTATTTTTATTTTCTGGTTCAGTTTGAGATTTGTTTGACGTTTGATTATGAAAAACATATTGAAGCCTGGAGAGTAATATGATGACAAGAAACATTTATATGTCATTATCTACATGAAGTCCTTTTGTTATAGGCACATAGTAGGACTGTCCCTTTTAGATTGGCTTTTGGTTCAAGTTCTCCTGGTGGACCAACAGAGGGTGTTTTGAAATGCAAATTAAGTTAATAAATAACTTTAAAAAACTTCCCTGTTTGATAATGTGACAGCCCTAGATCTAACTGTATGCACTCATTTGTCTTTTTATTGTGTAACTGTGTACTAAGAACATTTAAGAAATGCATTTGGATCTTCAACAAATAATACATGATTATGATGGACAGTCAGGTATGTTGGAAAATAATTAAATCCATGGATGAATAACAACCCAGGAATTAGACTGAATAGCTACTTGAATGCCTTGATTTCCAGAATCAATGAGCAATATTTAAAGTGCTTTATTAAAAATGGGTTTAGTGTTGCTCTATTCACATCAGAAGCTAATCCGTTCTTCTTTGGGCTATGATGAAATTCACACCAAATTCCATTGATATCACTTTTGTAGTTTTTGAGTTATAGGCTACTGCAATGATAAAAACAAATGGGACGAAACGCAAGCCTGTATGGCTTGTTAGGGATAATTAGGGAAAAATAGGTTGTGCTGAATCTTGAAGAGTGTTTTGGGATCAGCCTCTAGTGGAAAAAACAGCTTCAGAGATGACACTTCTTCAGATCCGATAAAAACAGCTGGTTATAGTCTGCTTGCTCACAAACGCTTCGCTCCCTCGACAGTATCGCACTCATTTACACTGTCTGCCTCTTACTCAGAGGGTTTGTTGACATCGATCCACATACAGAGGCATTCAAACCAGCTCAGAGAAGAGCAGATGCTGAGAGCCGTTGTTGTGTTGGGACGCCTCCACTTGATCTCACACAAAGGCATGTTTTAAGTGCTGGCTTTTATATTAACGGCCCGTCCACATGGCAGCGTGCGTTGCTTCAACGGAGGTGACGTGAGGCTTTGCCGAACTGCATTGTGGTTCCGTCGCTTTGCGTTGCCTCAGTTGCTCGCTTCGAAAGTTGAGAAAAGTTCAACTTTTAAAGCGTCGGCGGAAGCGCCAGCCAATCAAATCATATGCCAGTACAAGCTCTAGCCAATTAAACCGCGTGCTTGCGTGTCCAGGGCGGGAGATTAATGTGATTGGTTGTTGGTAGCACGCCAGACACGCCCACCGGCAAGCTTCAACGCACGCTGCCGTGTGGACGTACAGCAGGATCACGTCTAGTACAGAAACCGGCAAGAATGATTAATAGTGAACCACACTTCACATTTCAACAATTCTTTTTTTTTTTTTTACAGAGGACACACATACCTGCCGAGATGCTTAATCGTTATTTTCAAAACATCCTAATTTGTGATGGAAAATAAAGTACATCGATCTATCCATCTATCTAGTTGTATGTATGTCTATCTAGTATATATATCCATCCATTTATCTAATTGTATATCTATTTATGTACTTGTGTATCTATCTAGTTGTATATCTATGCATAGTTGTTTACCCATCTACATAGTTGTATATCTATCTATCTATTTATCTATCTACCTATGTAGTTGTGTATCCATCCATCTAGTTGTATATCTATCTATTTATCTATCTTCAATCTAGTTGTATATCTATGTCTTTCTATCCATCTATCTATCTATCCATCCATCCCTCCACAGATTTAGGAATGAATGACACAGAAAAATGATCCTCTTGTGTGGCAGCTCTCAGCCGTGTGTACTAATGCCCTCCCAGCATGCCTCTGTCTCTGGTGGCTCACACTGCCCTGCAGCAGGTCATGATATTTCATTTAAGCGTCAGATGGCCTGTTATGCCACTCTTTCATCCTGGCTCACTGGGGCGAAGGGACTGCAGGTTTGATATTTACCTCTGGCCAAGAGAGTTAAACAGGCCATACTGTAACTCTACTCTCTACTCAAACGGCATGGAGGACATTGTATTATAGCTTTAGATTTTCCCCCACTTCAAGGTAACACTAAAGGCGGTTGTCCTCTGAGGGTTTCACAAGTCAGTGCTTTGTAGCATATGGCTCTCCATTTAGTTACAGAGTACCTGAAAAGGATGCAGAATCAGAATAGATTCAGAGTGGAAGAGGTATTGCACAATGACATGTTGGTAAAGAAACACAAACTGCTAGAAACCTCTGACAGAAAATCTATTGCCTCTGCTTCATTCTCTGAGGGAGCCGTGTAAAATATTGAATAACATTTGTTTTAGTTGTGTGGTCATGATCGATGTAGCCAAGGACTGTGCACGAATTCTTGTTTGCTAAGCTCCACTCAAATAGAGCCTATTGCCCCCTCAAATTACCTGAGTAGACACACACTATATTATGAGTAAATGTCTTAAACACTGAGGTGAAGAAAGGCAAACGGCAGTTAAGGACATATTTACTGTTGTAGTGCAGTATTAGCCTCTCTAGGTGCTCATTCAAGTGGCGCGGATGTTCATTTTATCCACATCTTTATATAAATATCCCAAGGCCACCTATCATTTGCAGACAGGAGTGGATTCACTTTATTCACTCAACTAGAAGCCCTTGAACATCACCTTTTTGTGAGTTTCAGTCATACAGTCAAACAAATTGCAAACTGTGTCGTAATGACATAAAAGATGAGTTTCCATCTTTATTAAGCTCTATTTTGAAGTAATATCCTGTGTCATCTCTGTCGAGGATTCAGATTAATAATTGTGTATTCTGTGTAATAGAGTCCCTTTCACTTTGTGTGACAATTTTCAACTAAATGTCCTCAGCACAGAAACAAAGACATCACACCCAGATATTTAGCAACCCTGTTTTGGCAAATGATGCTTCTCATATTTCTCGGGTAGCTATTTCTGGAGCCAGTATAAAATGGATTAAGAGGCGTCTTGTGCTAATGACTTTGTTTTGCAATTTAAATCGTGAGATTTTAAAAGGCAGCAATTGGAACAGATGTAGGGTTTTTCAAAATGTATTTGTTTTTATCAAGGGAGCATTTGATGAACGGCAAACATTTACAACTGGCAGCTCTGACGTAGCTTTTGGGATACGATGGTTTCTGGATGGTAGCTCTTAGCATGTGAGTGTTCATCATCATCTTTCCCAGATTAATAGTACTAATACCCCCCCGTCTGTCTCCCCCGCAGTAATTATACAGCCCTGGTCGGCGTGTGGATCTACGGCTTCTTCGTGATGGTGCTGCTGGCGCTGGACTTTCTCTACTACTCCGCCATAAACTATGAGCTGTGCCGGGTGTACCTGGAGAAATGGGGTCTGGGCGGGCGCTGGCTGAAGAAGGCTCGCAGTCAGTGGCACAGGTCCATGCCGGAGGAGAGCGAGGCCCCGGCTCAAGCACCCCCCACCGTCTCCAGCCACTACCAGCCCAGAAACAGCCTGAGAGGGGAGAGCCACAGCCCCACACTGCTGCCCTACAACACATCCACCGCATGGTGAGTCACGGCCCGTCACATGACCACCGCCAACCTGCAGTGTGGCATGTATATCTAATGTGAAGCTGTGAGAATCAGCAAATTGTGAGATAAGATTTACGTCACTAATCACCTGGGTAACCACAGCTGGTGACTGCTTGGAATAATCCCCATGGGAGCGCTGGCAGTGTGCAAATAATAATGTGTACATTTCAGACAGGTACATAGCAGCTGGGAAATACTGTAGGGATTGTAGATGCTTAGTAGTTCCTTAGGAAATCTGATAATATAAGGATATATTTATTAATTATTGTAACGTCAATTTATTTAAAAAGCCCAAAACCCACACTTTCTCAGAGGTTCAGGACACCCTGTAAGCTTATAGAAGACCATAAATCCAAGAGGAGAGAAACGCAGAGAAAAGAAAGGGGGAGAAACCTGTAAAAATACAAATGTTCTCAGAATTACAAAATGTTGCACATATTTAGCCTTTGTCCCATTAGTTGTTAACGTATTCAAAAGGTTGTCAAATTATAGCTTGACTAAAAAGATAATTCCGTAAACTTTATACATTTCTGTGTTTGTCAAAATGTAAATGCTTTGCGTAACTCTTCTTTGATGGACTTCACTTAGCAAAGAAGCCAGATCAGTTCTGCTATTAAAGCTTATTTTACCTAATAATAGGCAATATAGATGGCTGCATTTTTAAATGAAACAACACCGCTGTCAACACAAAACACATGAGATTTATATCTCAGAAAGAAGCCGTTTACATAAAAAAATAAATGACATACAGTAGAATGTTCTACCCTATGTGACTATATATTATGAATATAAATTGCCCTACACTAACAAGCATGTCAGTGCAGAGACTTGTTATTTTAAAAGTGTATCCGATGCTTAGAAAGAAACTCAAATGGCCCTATAACAAATGTTCTCTTACATTTCTTTTTTTAAACACAGGTTCCCTCCGTGTCTCGTTTCCTTGTGTGTCTGTTTGTCTTTGAACTGAATGTTTTGTTACGTAGAGAGAGCAGCATGGCAGGGAACAGTGTGTCTAGCAGGACAAATTAGAGCATTTCTTGCAGACTTTTCCCAAGCCAACAGGGAGGAAGCTCAAACATCAGGCTCCCCGTTTACTCCTTTAAATTCCTTTTAAAGATACACACAGGACACACAGGACACACACACACACACACACACACACACACACACACACACACACACAATAATAGCCTACCAGGGATAATGCTAAATCTGTTCCTGAATCATAGCAACTCACTGGTAAAGAATTCAGTCATTTTAATAGCTTCCCTCCTCAGAGTAAGGGAAACAGACTTTATCAATATTTTAAGAATTCTGCCTCACCGCCCACTAATGGATACTTTTCTGCAAAGCATCTGATCTGTATTTGTCTTTCATCTCAGAATAGCTGCACTGCCTCAACATCAAGATCCTTTTAATGGAGACATTTGGGTTTTAAGTCTGACCAGCTCATTAGGTCATCATTAATGAATAAAAGAGAACTGAATAATGTGAAAGCTGCGCTGCCCGCCAGAGGCCCCTTACTTTGATTTAACCTGAAAGATATGAATGAGTCTCATTAGAGCCCTTTCACAGAGTTTCTGTTGCAAAGCATCATCTGCTGTCCTTTCAGTTTATCTGTTTTATTACCTTTGAGAACAGTAACAGGACTCTCAAGGTGTGTTTGGCTGCGTGTGACTGTTGTTAAAACATACAAGTTGATTTACGATGCCAGGAGGGAACTGTAACATATAACAGCCCCCGGGAACGGTTTGTTCTTTTGGCAGACAGTGCTCAGACTTCTATGATACAGCCACACGATCATAGAGTCTGCCCCAACCCACATTTATGTGCAGACAATTTTTCATGCAGTTCTCCATCTGCAGCACTTTGCACCCTATCTGTTAGACTGAGACTCAGCGTCTCTTCCTAGAGGTAGACATCTCTCTTGGGTCATGATAATTTAATGCGGGCAGAGGTTTGACAAATGGCTTTGAGAAGCAGTAAGGACTGTGTGCGCCATAGATAGGCGAGCTGAGATGCTGCAGATGGATCCTGAGACTGCTTTGCTGGTGGAAACATGGTTAACTAACACTAGACATACCCATGGAGCCTCCTCGTTAGACATGAAGTCACTTCAATGTGATAGGACTCATCAATCCTGGACTTTTGAGGTTGACCTTTGCTGGCAGCTCTGCAGCTTTAACCAGAGGAAGTCTTTAAAAACGGTGATTGAAATCACAGCAAAATGCTCATTTACAAAGTGGGACAAAAAAATGAGAACATGTAAAGTTCATTGTTATTTATGTGGACAATGATTGATGGGAAATACTTACACATGGAAAGCGGTGTGGGCTTTTTAATAAGCAGGAGCATTTTTACAAATAGCTATGCATATTATTAGATCAGCCCCGCCAGAGAAATTGACAGATACTGGGAGATAAATTAAGTCAGCAGCCGTTTCTGGGGCAAGAATAGCCTAGAATAGACTTGGGCAATCTCACAAGGCGAACCACTTCTCACAATCTAGATAATGCTTCCGTGATTTGTTTAAAGTGTTAAGTTACAATGGGTGATACTGTAAGTTCACCACAGCTGATGTTGCCCACACAGTGCGTCATCAGACGGCCCTTGGTTTCTTTGCGGGGGTAGGGATCTTCATCCCCAGAGAAGACGTAGGGTAATGTCTCAGAAAACTGGGTCCACTTACACTTGAACATCTGTTGGCCAAATTTAAACAAACAGAGATGGGGTCAAGTCCCACATCGGGCGCAGCAACATCTAAAAACAACCCAGTCACACAGCAACTCAGGAATCCAGAACAAATGGTAACCAGTGCAGCGGAGCAAACCTCATAGCAAAAAGTCAAAATATCCAAACTTTTTTCCACATGCAATGATCTATTTCTTCAGAGAAAGTTAAGCTTGGCATTCAGCGTGTTGGAAAATTGTTTACCATATCTCTACGTCAGCGAGCTGGTATATAGTGCTCGAGTTCAGTGTGGGCGTCCTGCGAAACCGTCGTTATCTTCACTCTGCGGATACTCTTGAATGAAATCTCCTATTCATTTATTTCTTACCAGTTTGAGCAAATCAAATAAAGTTAACTAATGTCATTGTTCAGTAAGAGATGTGCGGCCCAGGTGAGAGAAAAAACTGCAGGTCTGCTAAACCAGACATTACGGTCACTTGATTGGATGGAAGAATGCGTTGTTTCTTTATGAGCGGGAAATTGACAGCAGATTGGAGTTTACTCTCAGGGTAATGTGGCACCTGATGGCAGCACCATCCCACTCAATGATTGATAAGTGATATTAGTATCACATGAGGCACTTCTGCAGTTGAAAGAGAGTAGCTCAGCAAAAATAAATATCATTTTGGTTGAAGAAATATATAAATATATCCACATATTTGTGTTTAGATGGCAACATATGCACAAAAGGTAAAACTGCAATTAAAAAGATTTATTGTTACGAATGCTCAGAAGGCACCTTAAATGTAACGAATCAGTGACACTGTGTTTGTTAGTTGATACATTGTTAAAGCATCCAACCCGTCAACCCCACATCACTATGTGTTGTGTGGCATCATTTTTAAATTAACATTTTAATTAGAGAGCTTTAGACCTCTCAAGCACACAGTGCTTCATCAGGTGGACCGAGTTCATTTTTTTACCAATTAACATTTTGATATGATAATGTGGTTGGTTGGCAGATGTTGTTAGAATAAGACAGAGCCAAGCTGGTGGTTTTCAGTCTTTAAACTAAGCTGCTGCTTGTTCCAGCATATTTGAATGCATCTTCTCAATTAACTCTCGACTAAAGAGGGAATAAGCAAAGTGTATAACTATTCATTTAGATGAATACACACCGGGCGAGAGCTATTTGGGCTACTTGAGCTTGTCTGACAGGGCTGTGGTGGAATTTGAAATAAATGACAGGTGACCACTATGCTAAGCTATGAAATTGGCACAGGAAGAAAAAAAACATCCTGGCAGGGCTCTCATGTAACTCTTAAAATGGCGATAAACTCAGCAGTTCCTGTTTATCGCCATTAAGTGCCCTGCAGCACTGATTGGTTGTCCACTCGTGGCTATGAGGACATTTAGAGTTTGGCCGGAATCCCAGTTTGTGCCAACCCTCTCTGCCTAGTAGTCCACCTCGAGAAATAATAAGTGGTACTGGGGAGCAGCAGCAACATCTGGATATCTCGACTCCAAAAGAAAAAGGCTGGTAGTGAGAATCTCTTATATTTTTACTATTTTATATTCCTTGTGCAGTTCGCTCACTGACACAATCCTCTCTCAGAACTGCAGGAAATGTCTGATCTGCTGCTGTCATTTCAGTCTGGCTTTACTGCATATTTTAAAATCAATGTAGAATGTCTTTAGTTAGTGCCGATCAAGACTTGCTGTGCAAAAATATCTTTAAATCAAGATAAAACATAAGCTGCCTCTTAACTCGTTCGTTGGAAGAATTGGGATTACGACCTGTCCATGGTTTCCTCTGCTTAACATCCAAGGTCAGCTGGTACGGGCTTCCTAATATTCTCCTAACAACCCTCGAGGATAAGTGGGAATAGCTGCCGGTTAGTTCAACCTTGGTTTTAATGTATGCTGAGGATCAACCACAGATGAAAGTGGGAGAATTGAAACGTTGGGCAACATCAAATGGCACCACTGCACATCAACCAGGACACGTCAAAGAGTCTCTTGGAGATTCATAAATCACTTGGCACCGCGTTGCAGCTGCACCTCGTGCCAGTAACCGCCCACTGACTCAGGCTTGGTATCTCCCTGGGCCAGCTGAGCTCAGCCACGGTTCATGTGAGGATGGCATCGGTCGACACATTCAACAAATACCTGACTCACCAGCTACCGTAACACTGCCTCTTACTGTCAGACCCCTGTGACTCAGCGTTATCACTCAGTCTAGTAAATGGAGTCTCCATAACTTTGGCTGTAGGTAACCATTGGGCTGCTCAATTATGGCAAAAATCATAATCTCAATTATTTGGGTCAATAATTGATATCACGATTATTAAAAACGATTATCCATTTACTTTTAAAACATCCATTTATTGAAAAATAAAATGTGAACAGTATGTCTTTAACAGTTGATTACCCTGAACGTTAAGTATAATTCAACTGAAAAACCAATAAAAAAAATATATATATAATGTTTTCATAATCGTTGCAAGCCAAAATCGTAATTCCGATTACAATACGATTAATTGAGCAGCCCTAGGTAACAATCTCAACACATTCAAAAGCTCTCAGTCGGGAAATGACACATGACTTCAATCAACAACTGAAACAACATCACATCTTTTTCCCCAAAGTGTTTTCTCTGTCAGAGCGTGATCAAAGCCTCCTGCATATTCACATCCATCTTTGAACTCAGTGGTTCTGTGGTAATAATATAATTGTACATTATGAAATTATTCCTGGCCTGTCCGTCCACAGAGCAGCATGCCAAGGCCTTGTCCAATTAAAGCAACACTCTCCATGTGGTGTGAGTTAATTAACATCATAGATGCTACAAAGGCAGCCAGGGACAGAGTTTTGCTGCAGGCGAAAAGGAAAGTGCATGAGAAAGGGATTAGCTCCTTCAAAGTTGAGAATGACTTTTGGCATGGCCACGAGCAAGTCAGGTAGCAGCTATTTATATTTTTGTATTACTATTAGATCAGTTGGCATACATTTACTTTTCAGTTTGGTCATTTCTCTCGAGTGCATTAGAATAACCTTCAAGTGGAAACTTTTATTTTCCCATAGTTGCATTATTGTGGGTGGCAGAATTGGGTGCGATGTGGGATGTGATTCATAGAGTTGGGTTGGGCTGAAAGTATTTACAAGATTTACAGACTTATAAAATATTCCTGTAAATCTGATTGCTTTTTGAAAAGCAAAGCTGCCTCGTTTTATTAGTTTTTGTGTTTTTCAGGCCTTGAACTGATTATCCAGTTATATAACAGACCAATGTGGATTATTAAGCAACCGATCCGGATCAGAGACGATTTCAGCCGTGCTACTAAGACCCATGTCCGTGTTGTTCAAAAGGATCCGGCAGGTTTTTTCCCAAACAACTCATGTGGCAACACGGTGTAATGTCATGACGCAGGCGTGCAGTCGGGGCTAAACATGTCAGTTTGGAGAGGATGAAGCAATGATAAGCCCTCCATTTCTTTTCTTCCATTTCTCAATAGGGTTCACTCTTATCCATTCGTAGGATATACTTGAAATGTCCAAGTAATCCTAGAGAGTGTGTTCATCATTTGACGGGACATTTAATAGAAAGAAAAATCGATTGATCTAAAAAAGAATCAGCAGATTGAATATGAAAATAATCCTTAGTTGTTCTGTTCAAAGGACAAATATTCCTGATTTAGGTCAAATGATAATATCCACACCATCTTCATGACAAGGCAACTCAAGCTGCTAAGATATGTCCAAGCCATGGTTTCAAGCTTCAGAAAAATGTATAAGGTGAACCTTGTGATAAGATTTTGTTTGTAAAAATGAACATTTATGCTCAATTTCTGTTTTTCTCTGAACAGAACGATGCTGCAGTGGACCAACTGAAGAGTAGCAACACCTTGTTTCATTTGGTGGTACAGAGGAGACGCCCTTCCCCCCTGATGCCCCCTCTCTGGACCACAGACTCAACACCAGTGGTGGGTTAGCCATACTGTAGTAGGAAGAAGTGACTGCTGCCCTTTTCTAATGAGCACAAAACCCCCTTGGACTGACAGACTGATATGGCAGTTAGAAACTCAGCTGAAAAGAAGCTGCCGGAGACACAGAGGAGCGTACTGCTACTGCCATAGCAGAGGAGCGACACATTGAAATGCTCACAGGTGTTCAGTGATCCCCTGAAAAGGCTGCCAAAGCCTGGAGCATCTCCAACAGATCCGAGCTGAACTGGATCAACTGTACCCACATGAAGCGAGGAGCTCATCTTTCTAAATATAACATGTTTATTACACTGCTGTGTCAGTTTGTGTTCAGTAGCAGTTAGACACGATGTGGGTTATCTATTTGGTGATTTATTTATGTGAAGTAGTCAGAGAAATATATGAGTGGTTGACATTCGGGAACATGTAACAGCTTAGGTTGATGCTGAGCATCTCACTAGAGTAGAGTGTTTTTGTTACTTACTGAAACTAGACACAAAATGTCTCTGCAGCCATGTTGAAAAACAATATCTTGTATTGTGTTCTCTCTATATTGTAACGTGTCTGACAAGGACACAAGGCCATACAGATAAACTGTTGTAGATCTAAAGGTTTTACATTAGGTCATCAATATTTCTCCTTTTCGGTTTGTGATGCTGAGGAAAGGGATCTCCACTCTCAATAAGTTATTCATCCAAACAATGAATGAGGATCAGGGATGCCTTTACAACAGCAAAGAGCTTCATGCTAAGTTAAACATGAATCCTTGGCTGTGAGCCTACAGACCCATTTGAGAGCATTACTCCTAAAGTTAGTGTGAGACAGTCGCCTCTGGAAACTCATCCATTGACTTGTTTGCCCTTCCTCATTACCAGAGCTGCCTGAAAAACAGCTCCATTAGCAATATGATGCAAATGAATATCCATTTGGTTCCATTATAAGGAGAGCTCTTTATCCCACACTGGTAAATAGACAATTGTAAGCGATTAGCCATAATAAAAAAAATGTAAAAAACCCAGTAAAACCCCTTTCACTGTCAGCAATAATGTACAGTATCTCAATCAGAAGGATGACATGGTGTGTAAAAGTCAGAGGCGCCCGTCCAAATGAGCGCTGGGTAATCATTGAGGTGTATCGCAGAGCTTTCAGGAGGATTTAAATGTAATAAGGACTCAATGCAAAGGGCATACAGTATTTCAGGATAATGAACTCGTATCAAAAAAAGGTCCCCAACTCATTCTCTATTGGCTTTATAAAAAGGATAAAAAAATATACTTTCACTTTAGAGCTGCAACTAGTGATATGTTTCATTCCTCATTTGGTCGATAACTTCTGAGAGAATAATAAAACTGAATGTTATAATTTACAACAGCCTGAGAGCAGGTCCAAAACTCCAATAATGTTTAGTTATATTATTCGATATTATTAAATAAAGATAACAATCCTTTCCATATGTAAAATCACTAACTTACTTGAATAATTACTAAATGGTCTAATTGACAATAGGCTGCAACTAAAGATTGTTTTAATTACTGAAGTCTGGCAATTATTTGATCAATTTATTAATACATGATCTGCTCTTTGAAGTTTTACAAAATAGTTTAAAATGACCTTTATTGTACAACCAATATTTTAAAGATATTCAATTGATTTTATAGGAGACAAAGGAAAGCATCAAATCCTAATTTTTGAGACTGAAACATCGACACATTGATTAACCAAATCCAGTTAGCTGGACAAATAGATACATTGACTATCATTTCAGCTCAGTGATTTCATCAGGCCCAAATCGTTAATAACTGATGAGATAAATGATCTGTAATCCAGATAGGTCTACGAGACAAAGCAGCTGTGGGTGCCAGACTGAATATGAGCGGCAGCATGTGAAGAGCAGGTGGACAGACGGTAGGTCGGAAGAAGGTGTCGGTTCCAATCTTGCATCTGCAATGGCAGCTGCTGAGCCTTTATGTAATATGAATGTGAAATGTCCTCGCTGAAACAGGAGATGCCGTTAATCGTTAGGAGCTGGCCATAAACCAGACATGAGACTTGGGTTAGGGTTTAGGGTTAGGGTTAGGGTTAGGGTTACCCTAACCCTAACCCTAACCCTAGCCATCATATTAGCCACTTTTACGCCAAGTACTTTGCCGTACTTAGTTCCCAACACTTCGTTCCCAGCACTTAGTTCCCCCATGGAACTAAAGAGCAGATCGCGTTCACACCGGAATAAGTCCCTGAGGGAAGATTACGCAAATTAAGCCGTTGACGTCACTTCTTCTTCTTCTGCTTTGTTCTACTGGTCAGGCCGCAAACAATTCACGGCGTTATTACTGCACCCGGAGTCCCGGAGTTGGGGACTGGCTTCAGTAGAAGCTGCTGGGGACTCCCAGTAGCTTCTACTGAAGCCTTCCGAGTAGATCGCCAGAACGCCGACACTCATCTCATCTCCATCGCTCCATGTTTTCTTTTGTGTTGACATAATGTTATCTCTCTCCGTTGTGTGCGCGGGCAATGCTAATTAATGCTAATGCCAGCAAATACAATGGCGTTTTCACAAATCTTTTAAGAGTTTTACAGGGCGTAGTCGCCCACAATCAGAAATTGGAACTTTTTTCTACCCAGGAAGTACCACCTCTCTAGCAGGGACTGAAAAGTTATCATTGAACTAAGTTTCTCTTTTGGGGTGTGAACGGCAAAATCCCAGGAACTATCGGAACTAAAAGGGAAAGGTACTCCGGTGTGAAAGCGGCCTAATGGCCCTTTTTATGTTTGCATGACCCCTCTGAACAGAACTCATGTGCTGCAGGCGCCTCATCCCCAGTTAATCAGCAAATAAGTATTCACAATTGTCCGAAGGATTGTTAAGCAGTTCATTCTACATTCACAATGGCTAAAGTGCTAATTAACGTGTGCGCCCCAGGCAGACTTGTGCTTTCAGGGGCAAAGAAATAGATGTGTCCATGTGAAATAACTTGCCCAGGGAATTAGACAGTATAATAATATTAAGCTTCTCTTGCTCTCTGTAGCTGCATTCTTATTCCCAGAGCGATGAACAGGAAGAGGGAACGGGGAGTGCAAGAAGAGGATAAGCTGGAAGTGGGGGAAATGATAACATGAATATACGAGTAATGGAATGAGTATTTCAGGTTTAATGCCATTTTCTGACCTCAAATACAAGGCAAGACAGGTAACTTTCAATTACCATAATAGAGTTATAGTGCACACGCAGGTGAAGAAAAACATTTCCAATTAGACCTACTGAACAAGCAGTAGCAGGGTCCACAAATGGATGAATTTCACTATTCCTATAAGACATGTTACATTTGTGAATGTTATTCATGTTCTTGTTTCAACACTCTGCACTGGTTTGTGATGATGTTACTGTCTCATAAACATAATCAGTCAACTGCTTCCCAAATACCGATAAAACAACATGTATAAAAAAACAGCATGTATGGGACAAGAAGAGAGCACACGTGGTGTTTCAGTCTCTCCAGGGTTGGTGGACAGTTGCCTTACAGATGTTGAATACCACTGTACACCAGAAGCTTGCTGTAGTGGTTGATACTCACTTGTTGGGTGTGGTGATGATGATGATGAGATGACTGATGATGCACCACGTTCTGCTATGTATTACGATAGAATGATCAGTAACCAGTTTTCAGATTGGTTGTTATGCACTTAGTCTGATTTGTAATTGTCCGGACAGGGGAGGAGAAATATAATTTATCTTTTCCAGTGTTGATTTAATCCCTCTGCAGTCAGGTGCTCTTTCAGAAATAATTCAATCCTTTCTTCTTCATGTAATGTGAAACGCAGTCAGAAGTGAAGAGTTAGTAAAAGAGAAATCTAAAATATGTATATATAATAAACATTGTTAGAAATAGCAGATAAAGCTATATATTTGTGGTTCCTTACACGCATGATTTAAAAATATCAATAATTCACTTTTAACTTTTAATTAAAAATAAAGTAGGGAGCAAATTTAGTAAGTAATGCATAAAATATAATTGTATATCATCCCATGATATCTTTGATTGGAATTGATTACAAACATTGACTATGATTATATGAAATGGATCAATTAGTTAAAAATATAAAAATGGACAATTACAACGTTTCCTTTCATGTGTGTCCTTCACCTCCAGAAAATGTAATTTAAAAAAATCATATTATTCTAGCATTATTTGTTCATCCACCAGTAAGCACTAATTTGCACCATCTTTACTTTCTAGATGGGGGGTTTGGCACACATATAATTAATAATATCATTGTCATAATTTTCGTCATCAACAAGACTAACGTTTACAAGACCTAGTAAAGTAAGAGCGATAAACAGGACTTATATTCTTACACTTGCCACAGCGATGTGCTGCCTGCAACGATTTGCATTATATTACCTGTCAATTGGTTATATTATATTTAATTAATGAACATCATTAAATCAGCCGGAAAAGTAAAGTGAATGCTTTGAGAAATGAAATGTGGCTATGCCAAACCTCATAAACATGCAGCCCAAGCTGTAAACTATATTGAGATACAAAATCGGAGTTATCCATCATATTTAATCGCCAGTGCAGAATATGAAGAAAACAGAACACTCCCGAGTAACGGTTAAACCGAAAAACAACTCGGGGGACTTATCAGAACCACAAAATGTTGCTGAGCATCTGTTGTACACCATGTTGACTCATCTTATCCCCAGAATGTTAAACCAGAGTCTGTCAGGATGTGGTTCTGCCAGCAATAACATTACACTTCCACGGCGTATTTGTTATTGAAAGGCACTGGTAGAGCAGTCCAGCATTGCAGAAATTGTGACGGTAATAACGTTCTAAAAGTTAGCAGATAACATTATCGCATGCTGGTAGGCACTGATTAGACAAAATAGCTGTGCTAGCCTAGATATACTTGGGAGAACTTTGAATCTGAGCAATCTCCTGTCAAGTAGCAGAGGGAATGGACTTTAGAGGTCCCCTATGTATATGACTTTTCATCAAATTAATAATATATTACGTCAGATAGGGGTGGTTAGCAGAAAGCATGCTTGGCTTGAAGATATTGGCATCCAAAATACCAAACAGATCATGCAGCATCCAATCATATCCTGTTTCAAGGCCATTATCTAATCAAAAGTGGACTATCTCTGTCTGTTACTATTAGATGAAAAATAAGGAGTACACTCCCCACGCTCTGAGAGATAATTTGGTTCAAAAGAACACAATGTGGTGCTCCTAGAGGAGATTCAGGGTGATAAGGGGGGTGAGTTACCTCGGTTGGTGATGGGGCTAATGGTTACACGAGCCAAAAAATCATTACTGACGATTCACAAAGTGGCCAAAATTTGATCAGCTCATTTGAAGAGCGAGGATTATATAAATGGATCAGGACAAAAATGAGAGATAATCTTTTTCCTGAAACTTCAGAATCGTCTTTACATCACAAAGGGGGACACATTGTTATGTATGAAAAGATGGGAAAAGTGGATTCACACAATAGTCCCCTTTAAGAAATTATTGTAGGAGTATCTATTTTGATCTAAGGTTAAAGAAAAAAA